ATATTGATGGATACGTATTCGACTATTTACTGTATGGTAGGTATACTATAATTTGATGCATATGATACTTATTGTTCTGCAGCATAGATATTTTGCAACTTCGGCTGCAACTTGTTATAGTTCATTGCTAGTATAGCACTCGGGCGTTCTATTGATAGTGGATTTGAGATCGCATTTTACAACGATTAGACCAGCATAGTAATTAGTTTTTGAATATTGATCACGATTAAAGTTTGACTGAATCGAATTGATTTCCTACTGTTTATTGATTCTTCTCCGCTGGATTGACTACTGATTTGATTTCGTATCCGCTGCATGATTCATTGACCATGCGTAATAGACTGTTATGGATCTTGATTGACTGACATGCATGTTGTTTCCGAGTACCCCCCGTTGCATTTGACATTCTCAGTTGTAGGCTTTGGTGCACCTGCTGGGCTTTTTGAAGCTCATTATATGTGGTTAACAATTTCAGGTTCGAGCAAGGCAACTGGAATGGAGTTCGATCAGAATGTCAGACGAATCCTTTCACTATGGATGCCTGGGGCGTCACATATCTAAACAATATTCAACAAGAGTAAGCGAGCTTGCCTCAAATGAGCTCGATTAATGAAGCACATCTCATATAAGTTTGATTGAGAAACTCTCCTCAGCATAACTCCATTATTAGAGGTGCTTGCCTCATGAGAACTTAACCAAAAGCAAGACTTGCTTTAGCCAAGGTCTATCCCCTCTCAAAGGGCCTCTTATCCAACATATAGAAGATATGCATCCACCAACCCCACAGTAACAACCTCATTAGCCACGCCATTCTCCGTCTCAGAAAAAACTTGCTTAGAGTACTCAAGCAAGGCACTCAACATTGACACTCACTTAAGAAGTACTCGTTGAGAGCACCCAACATAAGAACTTATCGAAGGTAGCCAATGCATTGCCCGAGATGGTTGTCAATATATGACCCCCAGAGTGCCCACGTATATGTAATAGTTAGATCATGTATTATTTATTATTTCACTAAGTGTGCCATCTCTTATAATCCCTCCAACTCTACAAATAAGGGGTTGAATATCATTTCAAGCACCTTATATGTCCTTTGCATTGTTCACACAAGCCACTGGGTGCAGAGCTCTCTAGCTTACCCATTATCTCTATATGAAAATACAAGAAGGATTCTTGGAATCAATTATTTGAAGAGGATGATCTAGTGCAAGAGCATTAACTTTGATACCCATTATAGATGTGAGCTACTACCCAAGTGAGTGAGTAGGGAATCACAACTGATTAAAGCATTCAATTGGGAGATCACAGAAGTAAGACTGCAAGTAAGATTTAAGATGCTCCATATAGTGTAACACATATTGAATTTGTGTACAGTTGTACTCATTTTGGTCAGATACGATAAAGGCAATTCACAACTTAAGATGCCCCACCTACTGTTTATCACCTCTTGCATGTGTCTATGAATATTTTGCATGAGTAGGAGTGTCTGAATCTGGTCTGATGCAGTCTCAGGGGTTTATGTGCATGTTTGAAAAATCTGAAAATAATTTCCCTTAGGGTGCCACGATGTTAGGTTTGGCAGCGCCGCGGCTTTGAGCTCTCTATATTTTGGCCAATTTATTGCGGGTGCTGTGGCACAATGCCTTATAAGGGGAGTGTTGTGTCATGTATGTTTGGGCACCACAGTGCCAGGCTCAAATTAAATATTAAAAATAATCATTTCAACTTTTTAAGTCCAATTCTCTCATACAGTTGGATAGAGAGATAAGATTTCTAGTGAGAGAAAGATATTTTGGGTCACAATTAAGATCAGTTGGTGTGACCTATTGAGTTATGTTGGGTCACAATTATTTTGCTTCTTGTTTCAGGTTGGGGGAAGAAAAACAACTAGTTGAGTAGCAGAGCGGTCAGGATCTGATATGTCTGAGTCTATATAGGTATTTCCTTAGTATTTGTATAGTCATGAAGTTTATTTTATTTCTCTGTTCTGGGATTGTGTAGTATTGTATATACATTTTGATGAAATAAAAGGAAAGGAAACGAAATTTATGGATGAGTTTATTTTTTTCAATTTACTGAAATTATGGGAAGCTCTATGGTTTAAATAAATTAATAGAAGATATATAACTAGTCCCCTAGAACTTAATTAAATCTTGGGCTGACCTATCCCAATTCAACACGGTATGACATGTCTTTCTATTGGTCATATTATAATGGATTCTTATAGTCTCTTTTTGATATCGGAGTAGCATAAATGATTAATTGAGCTATGTTGACTCACACTTATTCTATTTTTTATTCCAGTTCATAGGAAAAAAAAGAACCATTTAAGTAGCTGAGTGTTCAAGATCTAATATGTTGGAGTATGTATAAGTATTTTCACAGTCATCACTATTTATTTTATTTCTCTATTTTGGGTCTATATAGTAATCTGCTATATTATAAATGATGTGTATATATATTTTGATGAAATGAAAAAATATTTTTGGATGAGTTTATTTTATTATATGATATGTATAAACTAATAGAAAATATCTTCCTAGTCCGTCACGGGGCCATGCTAAAATTTCTTATTTAAAATGTCTTTTTTCACTATTTACTCCGTTCATTTCACCACAAGCTGTTGGCTCAGAGAAAGGGGAGAGATTTTTTAGAGAGAAAATTTATTTTGAGCCACTTCATATTATTTTTAGCTGTTAGCCAAGTTTTGAGAATTATATGGATCGAGGTAGGTAACATTTTTCTAACTTAATTTTTAAAAATATAATTTTTTTTTAGAATTTTTCAATTAGATTTATATTTTTGTTATAAAAAACTGAGGATAACTTTGCATTGATAAAACTTTCATCATACAACTTTCTGTATGTTGTAGAGACATCAATTATTAATATTTAGATATTTTCTAAGAAAATTTACATCCAATAATTTGAAATGTTCACCTTTTAATTATCTAGAAAATAAATATGGTATCCAAAAACTAATACTATAGTACAATTAAAGTTTTGAGTTAATGTTATCCATAATACTTAGTAATTTGGTTATGTTATGGAATAGTAAATTTTATACAGTAGTGCATTCTGTTGCCTAACCTTGCATAATAGTGCAGAAATTGTGAAATTATTTTCTGAGCTCTTTTATGTAATTGAGTAGATGAGCGTTCATGATCTAATATGTTTGAGTCTATATAGATATTTCGTAGAAATTATGAAATTCTTTTTAGAATAATGACTATTGTTTTATTTCTCTAACATGGGTAGCCATGTATCATATTGTAAACATTATATACACATCTTGTTGGAATGAAAGGAAAATTGCAGATAAGTTTATTTTATTAGTTTTATTGAAGTTAATTAGAAGCTTTGTGATCTATATAAATTACTAGAAGTTATCTAACTAGTCCCCAAAAACTTAAATCTTCGGCTAGCCTCTCCCAATTCAACACGGTATGACTTATCTTTTTGTGGGTCATATCGGATTGGGTTGTGACAACTAAAGGCATACCAAGGAATATCAGACTACATTGAGTCGGCATCTTCATTGATGGGCATTAATGACACTAAAGTGCCGATTGTTCTTTATCAACTTCAAGGAGCCTGCTCCTTAAAGGTTATTGCACCTACCATTACGTGTCATCATATCCGTCACTGAGTTCAAAAGGATGTTCTTCATACAATTCATGAATGCCTAGAATCTCAGAGGAAATCCCAAGCTCTCCATAAGATAAGATAGGAGTCAGGAGAGCCCCTGAGGAACTTCATTGTTAGGTTCAAGAGAGAGAGAGATGTTAGATGTCAAAAGTTATGGAGCTTGTAGTTGCCCAAACGACTCTAGCCCTCTAGCCCAATGCCTGAGGGAAGGTCCATTCAAGTATGTTTTTTCCTTGTAGAAACTAAGGACTTTGGTGGCATTGTTGGAACTCACCAACAATCACATCAATATTGAGTACAACGTTATGGTTGAGTCCTTTTCCACTGCTCATGCTTGATATGCCTACCTGTGAGCAATAATCACTTGCTAATCCCTTGAGCGTGATAAGAGTCAACCAAGGGATCATAGGATGGTGAAGAGGCATCATCTTCTTTGTTATTGACTTCCACAAGTCACTAATCTCATCACCCCCTTCGCATGCTATGAGCTTATTGATGGCTTATCGATGCCCTTCCCAAGAAGATGTTAGTGCTCCCAATGAAGATCATGCTGCAACTTCTTCACACCATCAAGCTTGAAGCATTGTTGGTCTCTTCAATAGTGAGATCTCAGTGCGTCTTTCACACTTCTTCATTGCTTATTTTTTCAATATATAACAAGGAGCGACAACTTTGATAGAAGTAAAAGTATTCCCTTTATTATTAATTAAAATTTTAAGCATTTTATGAAGAAATGATAAAATTTAAATATTAAATAAGTAAAAAAATAATTTTGAATGCTATGTATATAAATCTCTCAATATTTTTATTAAATTGAATAATATATTAATAGAAAATTACCTACATATAAACAATATAATAGAGTAATAAAAAAATATCCTTCACGATGAGGACATATAATAATAATAAGAAATTTTAATATAAATATAAAGCACATCTTATAATATTTATATAATTATAAATAATTTTAATTAATTCTAACACATTTAACATTAACCAGCAATGGGTCCATAAATTCCTATTTGTCACCACTTGGGTTTGCAATCATTAATTTTCATTTGCAAAGCCAATTGAAAATCATAAAGGGTTCTTATGTTTTTCGAGCAATATCTAATGAATTGAACAAATAGTAGTTTTAAAAAAAAACCATTTCTGCACATAAAAACTTTCTTAAATTACAAAATTAACACTTATATTGAATTTTTTGGTGCCATTGAAATTGTGGATTCAGGCGTGTTGTGATCAGATCATTATAATTTTATAAAAAAAATATGGATTTAGATATTTAAGTGAGAAATAAAAAAAATAGAGATATGAGATTATTAGTTTTATAAAAAGTCAAAATTTAGTAGATTATCATAAGCATTTTCTGACAACCATTTTCATTTATATGGTTTAATGAACAAGCGGCAGACATAAAGACAACAAAGTCATAATTACCAACATTAATGAAGACATTAAATCAGAATTTGGCATGCTTTGTTTGTCCTGGAAATTAAAAAAAAAAAGTCAGTAATGGATTCATTTTAAATGATCATGAATGTTGCTTGTTAAAATGCTTGCATTAAAACACATAGCATTCCATAAAAAATATACATATAGTAGCAAACTAAAATGTAGCGAAAACAAAACAATAGATAATTACCGCAAAGGCTGAAGTCACCATCTCCGCACCAATGATGTCAGCAACTGCAACAAGGAAACATGAAAAATTACAATTTTATTAATGAAGGGTTAAAATACAACAAAGAATAGAGAAAAAAAGTAGAATAGCGAGCAGCTCACTGCACTCTAAAATAAGTAATTCAGAAACTCTTACGAAATAAAAACTATGAAGCATTCTAAGGGATTATGAAACGCTACCATGAAATCTGATAATGAAAGCTTTAAAAGGCTTGTAGAATTAGCTTTCAGAAGATGAGGTCTATTACCAACTTACCTCAAAAAGCTCAAATGGGTTGCCACGCCTATAAACATCATTTTTATTGCTTTGTACAGAAAGGAGTTTGCATACTAAGGCTCGCCATCCTAAAAGCAAGATCCCTGTGCTTCCCATTGCTATCAGAATAAAACTTGTTTGAGGAAAATGACTAGATGTTGCTGCCCTAATGACAATGCCCAACTGCCAAAACATGAAGATGGTTAATGATCAATCAATCAGTTATTTTACAATGACAAGCTAGTCCATAAAGTACTCAAAGATTGAGAGCAATATAACGGAAAACTATTTGACACATACGGGGAAATCCCCATATGTATTTGAAGAATACATAGATAATCTTTAGTTGCTAACCTCTCTCAGCAAAAGCCGACCCAAATAATTACGATAAAAGCAATGATAGCGATAGTGATCCAAAAGATAATAAATTCATAAGTTTGCTTGTTTTGGTAAGCGAGGTAAAATGGTGAGGGAGCGTAGGAATAAGGTAAAACGCTCTATAGTGAAATCAATGCTGTGAAGTACTTTGTCTATGTACACCATCCTCAACATTGTCAAGTATCTGCAAAGCATGGCATGTACGCTGATGGCAGGGTCTGGCACAATGTGTGAGATAGGTTGTACACTATCTTGTATCAATAAATAAATTAGAATTTAACCACCAATTATGTTGTTTCACAATGATGATGCCTGTTACATTCATCTTTATTGCTTATAATTTGTTTTGGGGGACAACTTTGAGAGATGACTCAAATTAAATTAAAATGAGCGATTACAAGTCATACAAAAGAAAGAAATAGGAAAAACCCATAAGAAAACAGACCAAGGATAGATCCGCGGTCAGTAAAAAGGACCCGAGATGGAATAAATGAAGGCTATAAACAACACAATGCCTCAGAACTGGGAAGAAGGATATGTCAAACTCTACGGAATTTGGAGCAGTTCGCTAAACCTGAAATATCACCCAATAGCAGCAACTTCTTAAATTTAAGAACATTTATACTACTAATATTTGTTAATGAAATACTTTAGCTGAGAATATCTTGATCGAAATTTGTTAAGGATGGAGCTTCGTGCAATCAAATTCATTTTGAGGCAACTAAAATACCATTTTTCTTAATTTCTGACAATTTTGTTTCCTACGAGGTAATTCAATAAAACACCATGAACTGGGACAGGCAGGCATCAAATCTGCCATCATAAATCCCAACACATTGCACAGGATGCTTATTCTTCAAATGATAAGTTTCACCGGTTCATTTTTGCAACGGACAATGGATATTGGGACTCAAACCAGATTTGAAATTTGGAAGACCACAGAGATCCTTGTATTATCTACAAAAACTGGAAAAGGAAAATATTTGTAGAAATAATTTAGGTAACATAAATGTTATCACAGAAGTAGCCTTGATCGGTCTAACACCTGGTCAAGGAAAGTCAGACAACCCTGTCGTTTACAAAAGATAAGAGATGATGTGATTGAGAACCACAGAACAAAATGTTTATGCCCAATATTTGTGTCTAACATTAACAGGCATGCTGCAGTGTAAAGCAGTCATAAATCCTTAAGAAGAGAGTCACTAATACCATATCAAAAGGTAGATTGTACTCTTGATTCACTAAAATGTTATTCGTAATACTTTGTACAAGAGCGCTTGCTGAAAACTGAAACAACGTCCAACCATTACGAGAAATGGTTGCACTAAGGTGAGCAGTAGAGCGATATGGAAGCAGCCTGAAAGTTTGGTTTCCAAATAACTCAAATAACGGCTTCTCCTAAATCCATAAACCCAAAAAGAGTGACAAATAAGTGTCATTGACATTTTTGAAAGATAAGAAAGGTCTCATGGACCCAGCAAGTCTGCATAAACATTTAAATAACGGAGAAGAGTGGGAGGGGGCTTCCAAATAGAAGTATACTTGGCTTTCCACCATGAGCTATAAATGCCAATATTACGAATGAACTTCCACAACCCTTGAATTTGGAAGCTTGACTAAGAGAATGGATGGTGGGAAGACCAAGACCATCTTTAGATTTAGGGCAGCATGCTGAAACCCAAGAAATGAGTTGTCATTATAAAGAAGTCTAGACAACAGATGTTAATAGTTTTAATGATTCCTAAGTATGAAGATAGCTGGAATATAATAAGTTATAAAATTTCAAATTGCCCATTAGCCAAAAAAAGACACCAAAACTTCCAATCAACGAAAAGAGGAAAAATTTAATCATTAGTCAGCTGAAAATGTGGGAGATGAAGTACATTGGCAGAGATGGGAATGCCCAAACACATGAATTTGAGAAGAAAAGGTAAATCCCAACCTCCTCCTAATAGAGCGAGCATCTAAGACATTCCTAGAAAAGGAAATCAAACTTCTATGGATTCACATAGAGGCAAGAAGATCATTTGAAATTATCCATAAAAATTTTAAGGCAATTTATATTGTTTCTTGCAGTAATACCAAAGACCAAGAGATCATCAGCATAAAGGAGATAAGACAATCATTGTTGCTTGGCAACAATTCCGATTAGTACAAAATAGTAATTTTATAGTCAAGAAAGTTAGAAATATAATCCATATAAATGCAAAACAGATAAGGAGAGTAGCCTTGCTTTAACCCTTGCTTTAACTCAATAGACAAAGGTAAAAAAACCTTCCAAAACATCATTTACGATGATGACTGAATAATAGACATCAAGAATATAGATTTTTATCCATGAGATGAGGGGAGAAGCTTTTTGTTGGAGTATTAATGAAATATTTTTTTCTTGACCGCATCAAAACTCTTTTTAATATCCAATATAGCACAAAAATCTCAGTAGAACTTCCAATATTGAATAGATTAAGAAGATCATTCGTTAAAATGATATTATCATAAGATTGCTACTGTGGATGAAGTCATATTGGGCTCAATCAATGATAGAAGACAACAAAGATTTGAGCATGTTATCAATAATTTTAAATGTGATTTTGAAAAAGGACCGACAAAGGGAAATAGAAATGGAATCTATAATATTGTTGACATGAGAGGACTTGGAAATAAAAGAGATAATCATAGCTTTCAACAATTTAGAAAGGTTTTTAAATATGAAAAAAAAAAAGTTAAACAAACAAACAAACATCCCCAATGACATTTTCTTGTAGATCTCAAGTATTTCCTATCAATCTTCAAAAAACTGCGAGAATTCTCCACAAAAATCCACACAAAACCACGAAAATAGTAGACAATTTGTACTATTTGATGAAATAGAAACAAAAAATAGCAAGATACAGTTGATCCTCAATTCGAGAGGAGGATCGATCTCTCCCAAACTCTCTAAACGCCGTTAGAGCCCAAAGGAAACCTAAACCTAAGAGATCTCAAATTTCAACCAAACTTAAGATGCCCTTACCCTAAGAAAACAAACTATTTAATGCAGACAACTCAAAAGGAAATTCCTAAACAATCCCTACATTCAAAATTCCCTCATAATTCCCCCAAAAATCCTTCCTAAATCGCTCGCCCAAATTGGCGGCTTGGTCGTACGTACAGGAAGAGGCGGAACTCTTCCGCCTGAGCCGGTCTCGTGTGGACCGGCTAGAATGGACCGGTCTAACACAATTAATCACAAATGACCACTCTTATAACCACTTTTACGGAAAGCGGGCATATTATTCAAATCTTCCATCAACAAAGGAAATAGTTGCAAAATTTTTGTAAAGGTGTTATTTCATAGAATGCATCCTTCATAAATGCAGAACAAAAATTACATTTATTGATCCTAATGTTCTATAACTTCCCTAAAAATCATGGTAGATATCAAAAGTTCAGCATCTGATTAGTTTTCTAACATTTAATGTAGGCACAATAAAAATTTTCAGTCATAATTCAGCCTTCATACATGCATAACATAAATCTTAATATTCTACAACTACTCAAATAATGATAGTTCATACCAACTAATATAGTTTATTAGAAAATATAAGATATTTAAATAATATTTCAATCATATCTTGATGATATTTTGACATCGAGCAATGATATATAAACTTGAACTAGAACAAACAATGGTGAAAACAGTGGGTGAATAAGGGTGGCCCTTGACCCTAAGTTGGATAAGTCCTCATGTAACTATATATAGTATAGAAGTTTCACCCAAAATCTTCTTGTAATCACACAAGTTGTGAAAGTTTTAGTCTGCTTAAGTTAAGGACATACAATTTCACCGTCATTCACTAGATATCCTAAACCTGAACTAAAACACATGATATTTGACACAAAACATTAAACCAAGCATGCGGTAGTATCTTGGATCTATTTTACAGAATAATGAAAATATAAATGAGGATATAGCTTCTAAAGTTAATGCTAGAAGCTTAATATAGAGAAGTTCCTAAGGAGCATTGTGATAAAAAGATATTATGGGGATTTAAAGGTAAATTTTACAAAACCATAATTAGGTTGATGTTGTTGTATGGATCTAAGTATTAAACAATAGAAAAAACATTGATATATAAGTTGAGTGACAGAAACAATAATTTTAAGATAAATGTATGTTAAGGCTCAGAATGACAAATCAAAGAGTAATTATATTAAAGGAATAGTTGAAGTGACATCTATTGATGATGAGATAATTAAAAATAAACTTATGTTTTGGAGATACAATAAATGATAGAAAATGCATCTATTAAATAAATTTATTAAATTAATATTAAAGGATTAGGAAGAAAGAGTAGGCATAAGATTACATAGATATAACAGTTCAAAATGAACTGAGAAGAACAAGTTTAACACCTCGAGCAATACTCAATAAGAACAAAAGGAAAATGAGGATTCATAAATTCCAACGAGAATAGTTGGGACAAGTTTGATGATGACGACGACGACTATATCAAGGGCAAGGCATCGACAAGCAACACAGACATTTAAATAACTGAACTAAACAGGACCTCAGAAAATAAATTGAACAAATTAACAGAATCTCCCTTTGAATAAGCAGATCACAAGTTATGCATGATAATAAGAGGTAACAACCGGAATGCCAACAAGCCAAGACCTCGCAGCAGCAGCTAGGGCTGTACCATACCCATTCATCCCTTTTCCATCATCACCATAACCTCCAAGGAAGTAAGCGCTCAGCACCCATCCTACCAAACGTCATCACACGTCTCAAAAACCCAGGCTTATCTTAAAACACATCCAAAAGGAAAAAAAACATGCAAACCAGCTATGAATGGATCGGCAGTTTTGAGGGTTTCAACATCAACAATAGGCAACCCATGGCTATATCTACCGATAGCCGAAAACGCGAGCAAGCATAGAACGTCACCGCCCGCCAGAAGAGCCAAAATCCTGAAATTCACTCAAGAAATTTACCAAAAATTCACATAGAAAATGAAAAGAATGCGAGAAATGACGGTCTTACGCCCACGAGAGCAACGACGAAGGCGCCGAGGGCTTTTCGAACTGGATGACGCCTTCCAAAGGGACGCCTTCGTCTCCGACAAAAACTGCGTTGTCGCCTTGGTCGGGGAACGGTGGCAACCGGCTGGAGGGAGTGGGCTCGCCGTCGGCAGCGAGAGTGGGATGTAGGGGTTTTATAGGGTTCTGAGAGTTGAGTCCGAGGCGAGATCGGGAAGAGAGAGGACGGATGAGTTTGAAAGAACGGTGGAAAGAAGTCGCGCTTGCGCCAAATCCGCCGGCGGGGAATCGCCTGGCGGACAGACCGCCATTGGGAGCTTGGCTTATGAGAAGTATGGAGTCCATGAGTTAATGGATTTCAACAGCTAACGAACAACGAGCGTACAATTAAAGTTTCTCAACAGGGCGACATTTTTACGTGAGTATTAAATTTTTACATACATACATATCATTTTTATTATTTAATACTATTTTCACATCTCATATTTAAAATTTTAATATTACATATCTATAACTTATAAAATAAATATGAGTGCATGTAATAAAATATTAAAATTTATAGAATGATATGCATTATAAGAATGAAATATATGAGTGATATATTTGATTTGAAAATTTTATATGAGTGATAGGAATGTAATATTGACATTATTAAACATGTGTTAGAATTTATATGTATCATAATATTTGAAATTAAAAAAATGTATCCATTCAAATCAAAATAGCTTTGGAACAAGTATACATAAAATTTGATTCAAGCTCAATCAGCCTAATTCAAGCCAATTTGGTCCGTGACTACAACCTATGAACTTGTCCATGGCATGCAAGTAGTACAACCTATCAAGTTGACATTGATGTATTGCGAGGACAATGACTATTAGAAGACAAAGAATAAATATTTGTCTTCTAATAATGACTTCCTCAAGAAGTTAGCGGCTTCTTCATCAACTACAACAAGTTGGTTTCTTCTAGCAAGTCAGCGACTTCATGAAGTTGGTGGTTTGCTCCAAGCAAGTTGGTGCAATTCAACACGCTTGTTTAGTTAATTGGCGAATCCTAACGATCTAAATCTTGTCATCATAGTATACATGGACTCATTTCATGTATAATATTGAGCTACACCTTTTAGGCCATATACTCTACATATTAGGATATTTATTTAATTATTGTATTGCCTTTCCTATAGAACCTAAAACCCAATAAATATAAAGTTAGAGCCATTTAAGTGTTTTACAGGAAAGGAGAAATATTTCCCGTGTAGTGCACACTAGCAATAAAATTCTAGATTACTCCAATTTGTTTCATTTTCTCTCTCCTCAATTTTCATCACACTTTTATTTGTTAAAAACTCGCAGTTTTAAAAGTAAGGTTTTGATATCGCCTACAAACAAATTTAGATTCAACATTCTAAAAGATGTGCGAGCGTGCATACATATCAAAGATCAACAATTAGATGATTCGAGTAGCCAATCATAGAACTTAATTTTCAAATGAGATCGAAGATGTACATTAAGGGAACCCACCCCATGTAGTTCTCAATGAACTTGCACAATAAAATTTAGCTTAGAGAACTAGATAATTGAAAGATAAATGATATAGCAAGAAAACTTCTTTGAAAAAGTAGCTGTAACAGAAAATGGATTTAACAGGCAACATAAGGCAGTGGGATTTCAGCATTTCAATGCACTAGTAATGTTTAAAACCACAGAATCGGCTTCATACAAGTTGAAGACATGAGCATAGAAATATCAATAATACAAATTTATGTGCATTTGCTTATAAAAGTTGAATTATTGGACTTCTTACTATCTATACATGTTGTAAAAATTTATTGTCATGCAACTGGAACTTTGCAGCAAATATTGAGGACTTCTTCCAAAGGTGCATGGTCACCTGTTCCTTCATCTTTCCTAGCATACAACAATTCTTTTCCTTTGAATACAAGCATCCCACCCTAAGAAAGCAGCAAAGAAACTAAAACAATGTCATTATGATCCCTTCAGAAACGACGGTGCAAGGCATTAAAAAGTTGAACAAACTAGATTGAACAAGACCTGCTGCAGAACACTGCTCTTATCGTCCGGTGTCGCTGAAATAGTGTAGTTAGCTGCAGCTTTTCGAATTGAACTGAATCTTGAGAAAACTTTGGTCTGCTTTTTTAATAAGAAAAGCAAAATATGCCTTCATCACATTGCAAATAGCTTTCCAAATGTCAAATTCTATTGATTTTGAATTTAAATTCAAATACATATAATACCTAACACATGAAAATTTGACACAATTATGATTTTGAAAACTAGAACTATTTTATCAGAATGATGCTAATACTTACTGAGAGTTTTGTCAGAGAATAACGGCTAAATAAGCTGGCTTATGGTAAATTTCAAGTTAATACATAGATATTTGAAAACTAGGAAGTATACTATTTATAATTACTTAATGTTCAGCTATGCTATTTAATTTTTGACTGCATATGATATCAGATAAATGTAAATTTAAATTTGTATGCAAGTAATCAGACATTCATGGCAATGGGAAGTGATACTCACACTGGCTGGATTAAAGAAGGTACGGCCTAAACCATGATACAGGCCCAAAACATCGTAAGCCTGCAGAATTAAGTGCATCATGAATTAAAGAAGGCAGAGGAAGAATGCAAGATAACAATATCATTACCTTCCGATCTGGGTCTGCATAAAGATAATCCAACGGAAATGGTAGCTGCCACATTGAGAAACAAAATTATATCAGGTGCTAGACGATCATAAGAGTTTTTTTAAGGGTTCATGATTTCAGATCACATGCTAAGAGCCTAAGATAAAGCTTATGGGTTAAAGAAAGCAAATTTAAATTAAGGTATATTTAGGAAAAATTTTTCACAGCTTTATTTTATAATCTGCTGCAAATTTCTGTGTCTGTATATTTGTTGTTAATTTTCAAAATATTTTGTGAAGAAAGCGAGCTTATCACAATCATATCAGCTAGCATGCTAGTTGTAAGAAAATTATTGTATATTTTTTTTAGAGAGAGACTATTATCAAAAGCTTTGATTTTCTCACAGCAATTCCACAACTAGCTCTATAGACAGTTGTAGTCATCCTAAATGGACCCTAAGAAACACTAGGTTGAGAATATGACTAACTCATTTGGCAAAATAATTTCAATTTAGCTTAATCATATGCTAATGATGGATTCTACTCTCTCGAGAAGCGAATGAAAATTGCATATGTCGAACTTTAACAACTGATTTAATTGAAAACAAGAACACATGTGATGAGGACATCAACAGACGCTACCGACAAGTTTATCGACGAAAGAATCGTAGATTTACGGCTACGATTCAGCGCCTTTACTTTTGATGCATTTCTTCATGTTATGTTTATTTAGTTTTGTTGCTTTCCGAATTTACCCCTTTGAGTAATTGTCTTGTTATTGTAGCCCAGAGGGCAATTGCGTACTTTTCCTTTTCATGTTTGAGACCTATATATAGTGGTCTAATGTGTTGTAAGAATTTTGATGAATGATTAATGAAAAATTTTATTTGCTTCTTCTTCTTCTTGTGTGAGCACTAAAGAAGGGAGAGAGAGCTCGAGGTGAGCAAGCTCAATACCCACTGGTCATCGGAAGAGTTCGCGACTCGTGATTCCATTTATTTCAATTTGCTTTTCTTCTCCCCCCCCCTCCCCCGCCTGCCGGCTTCCCCTAGTCCCTTCGCCGTCAACCATTTTCCCCACTCAAGTCTCCCTTAAAATACTACCCCTCAAGCTCCACCGCCAGCCAAGCCCCACTTATCCTCCCAACCGAATTCCCAAGCCTCCCACCAGGAAAAGGAATCGCAGATCTACGGCTACGATTCAACGCCTTTACTTTTGATGCATTTCTTCATGTTATGTTTATTTAGTTTTGTTGTTTTCCGAATTTACCCCTTTGAGTAATTGTCTTGTTATTGTAGCCCAGAGGGCAATTGCGTACTTTTCCTTTTCATGTTTGAGACCTATATATAGTGGTCTAATGTGTTGTAAGAATTTTGATGAATGATTAATGAAAATTTTTATTTGTTTATTCTTCTTCTTCTTTTGTGAGCACTAGAGAAGGGAGAGAGAGCGCGAGGTGAGCAAGCTCAATACCCACCAGTCATCGGAAGAGTCCGCGGCTCGTGGTTCCATTTATTTCAATTTGCTTTTCTTCTTCCCCCCCTCGCCGGCTTCCCCTAGTCCCTTTGCTGTCAACCATTTTCCCCACCCAACTCCCTCACAATACTACCCCTCAAGCTCCACCGCCGGCTGAGCCCCACTTATCCCCCCAACCAAATTCCCAAGCCTCCCACCACCATGCCCCACCTGATGAGGACATCGGAGATCAATGGCTACGATCTTGAGTTATTTATTTATTTATATGTTTTATGTACTAGTTTATTTTATATTATTGTTTTTCCCGTTATACCCTTGCGGGTGGTCATGTAGTGTTGTAGCCCGAAGGGCATTTTCGTCTTTGTTATTTTTCTTTTCATGAGGCCTATTTATAGGCTAGCTTTCTTGTATTGAAGGATGATGAATATTAATGAAAAATTTCAACTTTGGTTTTGGATCTCTTTGTGAGTTCTAGAGTTCTCTTGGTGAGTTCTCAAGTGAGGAAGCCTAGGAGAGGCTCAATCGAAGTACCCAACAGCCCTCTTTGTGAGAGCTCTTGATTCCTATCTTCTTCTTCTCCTTCTTTCCTCTCCCCTTGGCCGCCGAATTTTCCCCACCAATCCCCACTGGGCCAACCAACCCTCTTCCACCTCCCCCACCTGCCGAACCCCTCACCCGACGACAAAGCCCCTCCTCCTCCTTTGGCCGCCGGCCATCTCCTTGCCTCAAACCATGATGATGATGTCAATCATCATAATGGCTCCTTGATTGAGATCCCGCATTAAATGCATGAGTTATTGAATTTTGAAATTCAAATTTCGAATTCAAAACTTTCCATATTTGCAAACTTCCAATTAAGGAAGTTTTTCAAATTCAAAATTCGAATGGAATCTAATTGAATGACTCATTATTTTCCCCCCATAAGTTTCAAACTCATTTGGAAAGAAATTACTCTCCCTAATCACTCCTCTCCATCTCATAATGCCACCGACCCTATGAGGGTGAAATTCCCTTTAATGATCCATTAATGCATTCATGGCTCTTGAATCCAAATTTCAAATTTAATCCCCTCCAAATCCCTCATGGATTTTGAATTTTAAAATTCAAATCCACCCTCTAATTATTTTCCTAAAATATCTTTCTATTAATATGGAAACTTCTTGATTTGAATTCAAACTTATTTGAATTTCAAATCAATCCCATATTAATAAATCTTATTTTGGAAATCCATTCAATCTCTAAAATCTGAATTTAATTCAGATTTAAGCTTATCATTAAATTGATTGCATGGGGACCACTATTGTTTTGGAATGACAAAATTCAAATTTCTCTTCCAAGTAATGCAAACGTGATTCCCCTAAATTCTCTACACGTGACCTTCAACCTTCCCCTCATCTTCTACCTGTTGTCCACTTCGTATTCCAGCAAGTTCCCTTGCTAAGCGGCACCCAGGAAAGCTGCAGGTTGCTGTCCAAGGTGTCCAGCAGCACTAGGAGCAGGCCGAATCCTGGCAGACCCGTATTGGGTGCTGTCCAGGGCCTTCCACGAGTCCAGGTTGCTGTCCCAGCTGCTGTGAATGCTGTCCAGAGGGCTCCGCACCTTTCCCTTGTTGTCCCATCAATTGGGGAGACTTCCGAAGGCTGTTCAAGGTAGTTATGAAGTTCATATTGCTGTCCAGGACTGAGAAAAGGAACCCGACTGCTGTCCTAAGGCAGAAACAATCATCATCGACACCGAAGTGTTGTGTCTTCTGCTTCTTGTGGGTAAACTCTTCCCCCGGCTCTTTTATCTTCAAAGTTGCTTCTCAATTGTGGTCTTAGTAGATTCATGACGATCACGTTAATGTTTTCCGCTAAAGCCTAGTAATTAGAAGAGTTGAGTGAGGGAACCCTCGTAGTGACTAGTCTTATTGTTAGCATTGGAATTTATTGTTGAAACCATCTATGTATGCCTTGTTAGATTGAATTGGTTATTCTACTATCTTAACTCCTATGCAAGTAATTTAGCCTAAGCTTGTCTTACCGCTCTTAGTGTTTTCTTTTGTCGTTCAAAACCAACATAAAGTTTATCATTATTGGTTCTAACTATTAAGCGTGCAACTTTCTTAAGTAATTCATCTTCGCATGATATGGTTTCACATCATCTTGGTATCAGAGCATGGCTAGCATGCTTTACTTGTGCTAGATGCATCCTAGGGTCTAGTTTCTCATTGTTAATTTTAGATTTGGATTAAAGTTATTCCTCTTTCTCCCTACCTAATTCTTCCTCATCCAAACCTTCCCCTCCTCTCCACCCTTGGCCGCCCTCTCCACTTGCATCATCCCCTAGGAAAAAAAAACCTAAACCCTCATGTTATTTGAAGATACGAGAACGAAACAAGTTCTTTCCTCCTTCCTACCAATGGTGTATGGCCGACCACGAATTTGTCTTCGACGAGCAAGGAAGGACGGATATTCTTGGATCCCCGTTCTTTGACGTCTTCTTTGGCAACGACGAGACTATTGAAGGATACATCGACCGCATCTTATACCAACTAACATTGTCGATTGAAGAGCACCTTCCACCGGGTCGTTGGATAATCGTCAGTCACCCACCACCTCCGGCTACCGCTCCATCAACGAAGGTCCTCAACGTCGTCTTCCTAGTGGTAGTATCATTCTTCGTATGGTTCATCTTTCTCCGCTAAAGCCTATGAGTGATTGAGTGAGAAGGTACTCAAGGTGAATCTCTCGTTGTTAAGTGATTGATTATGTTATGTGTACTTAGTATTTACTATTGTCTTGAATTTTGATTGGATTGTTCGGTTGATATCAAACGTGCTTCTTTGGCCTAAGCAAGTTGATTACTTTAGATTCCTAATTCTTTTTTATTTGCAAGCAATAATTTACACTAGCAAGTTTTAATCGACTATTTCTTTTAATTTCGCAAGTAACTCATAGGAGTATCACATCATCTTGGCCATCAATTATGACTCAATATTGAAAAATATACAAAATATTCCCTATTTGATCAAATAGATGTTGGTGACTTTGGTTAATTTTCGAATTTGTATTTGGGCATCTCTCTTCTAATGTTTGCAAGCCAAGCTTTGGATGCTTTTATGGCATATGCTCTCGGCGTCGGGTTTCCCATGAGATTAAAGAAGAGAGACATACCAACTTAACTAGGGTTTCCTGGAGTACAAATCTCTCAATTTGACTTCTCTCTGAAGATGTTGGCCATAGGATTACAATACTAGTGAGCGGCATCAGCAAGAGTTATCACAAACTGCATCATGGTGAGAGATAATCTATTTATTTGTTAGATTATTCTTAAGCTTCTTCTTTATTATAGAATGGTGTATAGAGATTCGGTAAAGGTGATGAGTGTTTCTTCCTTTGTATTTTTCCTCTTCTGACTTCTTTAATTCTAGATCAAATCATCTCTTCCCTACAATGAATATAGGTTTATTTAAGGTTGAACTACATAAATATTGATTTCAATTTATGTTTTTATTTCACTTTTGTTATTGTTAGTGACATCATTCTTAAACATGGTGATATATTAGCATCTTGTCTTTTGGCACCATCAATGGCCACAAAGTTCAAGATCGAGAATTATGTGGTTTTGTATTTTGGAGAAACAAGATTCTTATGGAAATCCAGTTATGGTTGCTAGAGTTCTTCGAGAAAATAATGAAATGCTTGTGTTTGAGCTGGAAGACAAAGATTTGTGGTAAGTTCCCTTTAGTAATATGAATCAATCATTTTATGACAAATGTGCTTTCAAAGTCTCTTGCTAGTCGTAAAAAATTGCACATTGTTAAGTCCTTCATGATTTTCGGAGCTTAAGATGCTGGTTTAGATAGAAATCCTAAAGGAGATGAAAAAAAGAGAATTACTAATTGTAACTCAATATTGAAAAATAACCAGAATATTTCTTTTTTTTTTTTAAATAAAAATATTCCTTATTTGGTTAGATGGAGATCATACGACTATAATTGGTATTTGTACCTATATGCTGAGATCTAGCTCTCTTCTAAGGTTTGTAAGTTAAGCTTTGAAGGCTTCCACGACATACTTTCTCAACCTAGGTTTCATGTGATATTAAAGAAGCAAGGCATGCCCACTTTGCTTGGGGTTTTTGGAGTACAAATCTCTCAATTTCAATCTCTCTGGAGACATTGGTTGTAGAATTACAACATAGGAGAGCGGCATTAACAAGAGTTCCAACTAGATTCATCTTGGGGGTCAATATCATTGTGAGAGGTAATCATCTTATTAGTGAAGTAACTTGAGATTTTTCTTTATTTATAATGGGTGCACTTCGGATGTGGGAAGGACAGTGAGCATTCCTTTGATTGTGTACACCTTTGTATTCTTTGATGAAAGACGGATTTTCTCCCTGTTGGCTCCGAAAATTTGCGCCCTGGCCTCTCAGCGGACCTCTTTTCTTTTCTTTCATTTTGGGTCGTCGTGGAGAGTTTTAACACTTAAATTTAGAGGCAAATTTTTAGAAGGCATATTGGGTTTATAGATAATTCACTGCCTAGAGATTTTCACCCTCTTGCTTGGACTTTATGATATGAGTTCAGGTTTCCTATATGTGCAATCCCCTATAGTTAATTACCCCTTCCGATAACGAGAGAGGACTTTTGATTAAGGCTAGTCGTCAAACAGATACGTAGAGATACGTAGTATCTAATGTATAGTAGCAACGTGATTTGGTATTTGAAAACTTAATATATAAAATTAAAAATTCACCACCTCGTACTTAAAGCAAATGGTGAGGGGAATGATGATGAGCTCAATCAAGATCCCATAGTTCCGTCGTCCCGAGCCATCATGGCCCTTGGTCTACTCAGTCAGAGGAGGTAGTCGACCCAATCCGACTAGAGGATCCTTGTCGGCAATCATGGGTTGCTTCGTCTAAGAGTACCTCATAGACTTGGGGTGAAAATTTATGTAAGGGGACAAATCTGAATCCACCTTAGCTAACAGAGGACTTTGTTCCCTATAGATCATATCCTATTGATTCATTACTCAATGATTTTGAGTCATTGGGGAACATACGGGCGCTATCCATGACCGTAATATAATTGTGTCATTTGGCGGAAAACCACCTGGTCAGAGGGTTCATGTCATAATCGTTTACCTGCGGTATCATTTAGAGGCGAAACCACTAGTGTGGTGCCAATTGGCGGCGAAACCATGTCATGTCTTTACTAGCAAGAGACATATTGAGAATGAATCCTAGTGACATTCTCGACTAGATGCTAGTTCTTTGTGAGCTGAAGTAGTTTTCAGATTTTTCTACCTCGGTAAATTGTTATAGAGGGTGGATGGGTTTTGCTTTAAGTATTTAATAATTTATTTCACTTTTAAATATTTTGACATTATGATATTTTTAGAAATTTGAATTTTTATGAGAATTCAGGAGGCATTTTCAAATATTTAGGATCCCCTCCGGTTGAGTTTTTCTGTCAACACGACCATCATCGATGTATTTATGAGAAATTTTCATTTAGTTGGTTGAACCTTGTAGACTCTGCCAATTTGTCGACAGATGATGGGTTCGCTGTTAGCATTATGCTTTTATGAGTGCATGGTTTAAAATTGTGCAATAAGAGGTGCACCTCAAGGCGCCCCTCAACACAATTTTGTTCTTTTAAGCCTCAAAGCCTACGCAATGAGAGCTTGGATTGAGGCATACGCCTCAAGTTCACTGAGGCGCGCCTCCTCGCCTCATGCTTTAGAGGCGTCCGCCTCTTTAAAAAAAAAACCCTAACCTAACATATATCTATAGAGGCGTCCGCCTCTTAAATATTAATGCATAAAATTTTAATATGAGAGGTGTACTACATGTAATATGAATAGAAGTTATGCACAAATAATATTTTGATCTTCTATGATACAAATTTTTTTTGGATACGATTAAAATCTACTTTGTAGGTCTTGACGGCTATGTCTTAAACTCTTAGGTTGTGTTTTTTGTAGTGGCTTGATGTTTTGAATTTTGATCTTCTATTTTATATTCTTCTCATAAATGATGGTTAGAAGTAGGGATAAATCTGCATCAGGTCATAGAAAGAATCCAGTATGGAAACATAACACTCAGGTGGATGTGGGATTCAACAAAATGCAAATTAAGTAGTTATTCAATAAAATCCCTAAGTTAACAATGAGATTAGAACATAGAAAATCAAGAACTCAAATCCTACGTTTACTAAGCGAAGGCAGAGAGCTTGGCACGAATCCTTGTGCTTGAATCACCACCTACAAGATCAAAGGATTTAGAAGATAAATGAATAGGGGAAGAAGCTCACCCTTATCGAGGACCGGAAATAATTTGCCACTGAACGTTGGCAAGCTGTTATTTGATTGCTTCGGATAGTGTGTAGATGATGCGATCCAAATATTCTTCGACGGAGTTGTCGACTTCGAGTTGACATCGAAGAATGTTGACCAGAGAATGTTGACGTTTTCTTGCTCGTTGGAAACGAATCTGGAGTCAAGATTGGGATCATCCATTCATCGGTTTCGAAGGGTTGAAGTGTTGAAGACAATCATCGCTGCTTCCCTTGAAGACTCCTCTTGAGAGAAAGATGTTTCTCTCACGGATTGAGGGGGAGAATAGGGAGGGAAGTGGCCGGCCTAATGAATGAGGTTTAGGAGTTAGTAAGTTCAGATTTTTGGGTGGAGTTGGAGTTGAATTTAAGAGAGGATTTTGGAGGGAAAGGCCGGAATTAATTTCCAAATCAAAGTCCCTTGAGTTTGAAAGAAATTTAAAGGAGGTATGAAGGCATGGAGGGGGCGGGTGGAGTAGAGGAGGCTTGGGATTTAATTCCAAAAAAAAAATGTGTGATTTTGGAAAGAAGTAAAGGAGGTAGGGCCTTGGGAATTTCGGCCAAGAGAGAAGGGGATGGCTTGAATTATTTCCAAGAGTGTAGCTTGACTTTTGGAAATAATTCCAAAGAAAACCATGAGGGGGGCAGCGGCATAGGGGAAAGAAATTGGAGAAAATTAGCAAGGTTTATTGCTTTCATGGTTGGGATTCTCTAATTAGGATATATGATTTAATTCCAATCCAAATCAAATTAACTTTGAATTTGATTTTGGAAACTTTTCTAAAATAGAATCCTTTTTTAGGAATCGTTTCAAATTTGATTTTGGAATGATTGAAATTATCACATTCCAAAAAGAGAACATATGGAAAAGGAAAGTAATAATGAGATTTGCAAATTTGGGAGCAAGGGGCCGGGCGGCTTGGTGGATGGGCCGTGGGTGGGGTGAGGGGAGAAGGTGTCGGGTGCTAGCCGACGGGCAAGGGTGGGGCTATTAGAGGCCGGTGGTGGGGTTTTGTGGAGGTGGCCAGCGGCTTGAGGTGGGGTGGACCGTGGGTTGGAGGAATAAGGATGGAGGGAGGTTAGAAAGAACAGAACAGATAAAACTAGCCACGAATCCGGACTCTTCCAAGATTGGTGGGTAATCCGATTCCCTCTCCAAGGGATTTCTCTCCCAACTCTCTCAAGCTCTCGCAAGAACTCACAATGTAGAAAATTTTATCATATTCATTACACACAAATATTTATGATGATGAAAGCAATGCAACTTAGAAAATTTTAAATCCAATTTGTGTGACAAAGAAAAGCAATTTGGAGTAATGAACAATGGCATGCAACCTATGGTTCTCCCAATTGACTATAGACAAGTCAAGAACGGCTGAGGTAATGTCCAGGCCAACCAAGTGAAGATTATGACACACAAATTATTAAGTTGGTAAGTGAAACATATCAGTGTTGCAATAGAAATGATACCAAAATTATAAGAATATGGGTTTAATCACATCGTGATCTTTTTATATTCCGAGTAAAGTCTCCAGCATACTGCCAGCAATAACGAAATCATTGTAACTGCCAAAAATCAAGCCGCCATGGCTCAACTAGCTTGGACAAAATTGCCATACCCACCCATGTTTCATTCTATCATTTTGCCTCATAAAGCCCAACCAATAAAAGTGATGTAATAGCCCTGGTACATGGAGGAAAGCAACATCATATGCTTAAGAGATCCTCCACGAGTGGTCCTTGTGTCCAACAAGAATAGGCCATCATAATTCGGATGAGTTGGGGAGATGAGCATCAAGCATGGCGTGGCCATATTTTCTATTAAATGGGGGAGAAACCATACTTTAAACTAATCTTCGCCATGAGGAAATGGCAACAATCTACTCAAATAAGGATGCCAACAGAGTACTCAAGATGAAAGATCATCAGAGACCCTGAACAATCAATAACAAAAATGCCAAAATAATAACAATTATAATACATTTCAACTAGCCCTTGCAAGTGTACAAGCAAACCTCCAAAAAATGAACTCTCCATGCTGAGATAAACTCATACAAGCATGCCTAAAAGGGTTTTATGCATGTAACTATAGAATAAAGCCATGCCTTAAAAAAAAATAAAAAAAAATAAAAAAAGAATAAAGCCATGCCTTCAAACATATATTAAAAAAGTGGAAGAAAATATACCCGTTGGGCAAGAATACGAGCGTTGTCAGGGCTACCGACACCAATAGCAATCAATTTGACTCCAGCAGCATCAAACCTTGGTATCAATTCCTTTAGTTCAGAAGCAAGTTCCCAACTTGAAAATAAAGCACATAAAAAAAATTGTCAATTCCTGAAATAAGTACTAAAGCAGTAAAGCTCAAACTGAACCATATGAAAATCAAAATAAGAATGGGTTGTGTGGCATTTGAAGATCCAACCTAACAACTTACCAACAAATACATCCGAAATGTCTCAGAAGTGCAACCACAGCTATTCCCTGAAAATATGTGCAAGTTCAAAAACATAAGCATAAAAGTCATAGTCATCATCATCATAACCATTATCCCTAATATTTGGGTCGGCTTTGTAATCCTCCTATTGCATTTATTCTAAGGAACTCTATATATGACGTTGACTCATATTTACACTAGATTCTTTTAAAAATTTTAGCCAAGGTTACTTTAGGTCTATACCAACATGAGCATCAAAGTGATATCACCAAGCATCAAAATGATGACTGTTGTTGCTAATGACTTATAAAGCCGAGTACAAAAAGAAGGAATATTAAAAGCCAAGTAGAAAAAAATGACAAGTTTAGTTTCACTGAAAGGCAAAAATTTATAAAAGTTGTTACAAGATTTCCTTGCAATATTAGTAGCAAAATAGAAAATTTAAAAACAAAAGTTTATCTTTGTTCCCCCTCTTCATCCTTATCGATCAGTATTTCCTTTATAGAAGGTGTATAATCAATGTAGACACTAGAATAGAGTACAGAAAATATAGAGGAGAAGAGATAGAGGTAGAGTAAACTCTTCAATCAATGTATTTTGTTAACTTGATTCACATAGAGTGGATCATTCTTATACTAAGAGAAGCTTGAGTTTAAAATACTGTGATAGAGGCTGGTATTGATGGATGAATGTGGTTCATGGCTTGTTATAAGTGAAAAGGGGAAATGAATTCGTACAAGTAGTGACTCTGATGTGATATGCTCGAGTGGTTGCAGGGGGTATCAGAATGATATAACATGGTCAACACCCCTCAAATGGACCTAAATGAGGCCAACAACTTATATCTAAGTGAGGCAAAAGTGATATCAAGATATTTGGTAAATATATCAGCTAGTTGTTCTTGTGAAGCAATGTGATGCACCGTGATGTTATTTGATATTATGTTGTATTGAATGAAGTGATAATTTTTTTCAATATGCTTGGTTCACGCATAGAAGGTGAGATTATTGGCCAGAAGCAAAAGCATGAAAATTGTCACAATATAGAGGAGTCAGAGAAGTTGTAATACCAAATTCTTGTAGGAGCCGAAGAAGTCATATAAGATGTGAAGTTTCAGTGGCTAGTGCCCTATATTCTAATTTAGTGGAGGATTGGGCCACTATGGCTTATTTCTTAACACATGTTAAAAGAAAATTTTGTAGTGTTTTAATATCTTAAATATTAGTATTTTTTTTTGTTATTGTATATGAATGTCTCACGAAAAAGTAGAAATTCACAAGTGTTCAACCAGTGCCACAGCGCTTCAACTATTAGTGCTGCAGTGTCCATAACACTCAAGGGCTAGATCAGGACATCGCGGTGCCTACAGTGCTGGAGCCTTAAAAAAAATGTCAATTAATTCAGCGCCCCAGCGGAGTTAAGATCAACGCTGCAACACTTCACAATGCTGCAACGCTTGAAATCAAAATCTCAACGCCGAAATATACATTGCCGCAACACCGGATTACACATTCAAGTGCTGGAGTGCTCAACTTTTGCAGCGCCTCGGCGGAGCAGTTGCCGAAAAGAGGAGCCGCATTGACTTAGCCAAAAGGTGCATCGGTTTAGCCAATAGACGTTATAGGTCAGTCCAAAGCTGCAGTGGAGCCTACTTAGCAGCATAGAGAAACTAGTTCATTTTATAACTTCGTGACGTCACCATGTCAAGCATTGCGGCGCCTGAGTCCATTTTTGTACCAGTATAAATAATTTTTTAGCTCGTTTTAGTAGAGAATTCTATCATTTCGATGGGGTCTTTCATTTTCAGTGAGTCTTGAGGGCTTAAGTGTAATGGCCCCTTAGAATCAAATCTAAAGGAGGCCATGGGAGAAAAAAAATACTTCATTTGGAGATCATATCTATCTATTTGTAAGCAATCAGACATTTGGAGGAGAAATTAATATATTGTACTATCTGGGTGACATCTGACTTCACTTTTACTTTTATATTTTCCCTTATATGCAAGAAATGAATTATGGTTTGTTTTCTTTAATTTTAATGGCTTGCTGATTTTCTAATTTTTGGCTAATGATGTGAATCTTTTGCAAGTGCTAATGTAGACTATTGTTATTTGAATGTATAATTGACGTGTTCAATATTTTCAATTCATAATTTAATGCATACAATAGTCATGTGTGTAGTTAAAAATCATTGTGATATATTGTCTCAATGGAGGAATATTGGAACAATTAGGGGTGTTGAAATGGAACTCTTGCATTCCTAGACATAGGATTTTTAGTGTTCTAGGTTCTATGGAGATACAATCATTATGGGAAGGCCAAAAACCAAGTTTTTAAGATTTTATGCTTATTACGTGACTTTACACATTTTCAGGAAAGAGTGAGGACCCTCCAATGTGAGATTCCATACAACATGTTTAGTTTTCTTTTTTGGCACCTGTAGTTCATTTTGTAGTCATAATCTATTTATAGTGATGTAAGTAGACTTTTGTATCATGACTATTGTATATATAACATTTTTTGGTTTGTAATAATTGTACATATTGATGAATATAAATGCAATCACATTTACTTCCACTATGTAAATGAAATGTGAAGTCTTTGGATTAAAGAAAAGCAAATAAGATAGATCTAATTCTTCTAGTATAGATTTTGGGGCGTGACAAGTGCTTCTTTTGAAAGTTTTGAAAAAGAATAAATGAAATTTGAGAGAAGCTCTAGGAATTTTGTGGCATTGAAGGAGGAACAGTTGAAAAAGGCCTTCACCTGTGTACCATGAGAGGAGATTGGAGTATTTAAAAAATATTGTGATGAGGACATCGTCCGCATTTTCGACGCCGGAGATCGATGGTTACGAGCATGAGTTGTATTTTCATTATTTTATGTAGTAGTTTATTTTTATTTTATGTTTTTCCGTTTTTGCTCTTATGGGTATTTGGTCGCTATTGTAGCCCAAGGGGCATTTTAGTCTTTTGTTTTTTATTTGTCATTGTGAGGCCTATTTATATGGTCCTTCTCTTGTAATAGTTTTTAGTTTTTTGGAAAAAATGAATTTTTACTACTTGTTCTCTTTGTGAGTTCCCCCCCTCCAAGATCTCTTAGTGAGTTCGCCGGAGATCTCTTAGTGAGTTCGCCGGAGGAGACTAGATCTCTTTGTGAGAGGAACAGTTGAAAAAGGCCTTCACCTGTGTACCATGAGAGGAGATTGGAGTATTTAAAAAATATTGAGTAGACCCTTAGAAGAAGAAACAACACTCACTGTTTGAATTGGAGCAATTGTGTTAACACATGAAATAACAGAAGAAGCATATTCACTCCCCATTATTAGACTCAAAGTAGAAACAAGTCAATATTGGACTAGAACGGATTAATTTGACTGGACCGAACACAAGTGATTGAACTGAAGTAGCCTAATTAAATCAAAACTGCGTGAGCACTCAAGTCATTATAGACGATCTCCATAAAATGGGTAAGGATAAACCGCAACAACTTGCAGTACTCACATGAATACTCACCTAAAATGCTAATTGATCATCAAATTGACAAACAAAACTAGAAAAATTATCTCTTGGGCAGCTTGGATGTGGCTCTAAAAAGTACTCTTGCTAATTAAAATTCCACAAGAAGACAATCCTTTATTGTTCTCTGATGTAATCTTTTGCATAATTCATCTTGTATCATTGGCTTCGATCTTCACCTATAAATAGAGAGCAGGAGGTTTGCTAGGCGTTCTTTGGGCGGGGGCAGAATCTAAGAAGTCTGCAGATTATCATTTTCTCAACGATCCTTCAACAGTTCAACATTAAAGTGAAACTTTCTCCCTCGATTTAGGGCGTCGCATTAGGTTTAGAGTGACTTTAGACCAAATTCATCCAAAGTTTATCTCGGCTCATTTGTTTTCCTCTCTCCCCAAGTCATTGGTTAAACTCGTAGTTTGCAGTGGGATTCAACTATTTTCATCGGAACAATTTACCTTATTGGAAATAAAATTCTTTTAAAAAATTGTAGAATTCCCATCTAATTTTTCCGACGAACAAACTTCTGGAACTGAATAAATTTACTCCATCATCAAAAGAACAACATGGTGAAACTTCAGAAAAATTCCTGGATAAGTATTTCGCAACGTTGCCATCTTATATGGTTTAAAGCACGTATAATTCCATTTGTAGTTCCAAAACATTAACCGAAAAACATTGCAAGGAAATAAATTTTTATTACCTCCTTCTGATCCCATAAATCCTTAAGGAACGCCGGCTTCCCGGTAGAGGAGGTAAGAACCTGGACATTCCCAAGAGCATCCACGGCGGTTTCGTCGAATCCGGCGGTGGAAAGGTTCGACGAAGAGGAAGAAGAAGAAGAAGAAAAAGCACTAGCGATGAAAGAGAAAGAAGTACCCATCGCCACGTCGGTCCTTTTGGCCGCCAACAGAAAGCACGTCGATGAAGAAACGGGAAGGGAGAGAGAGAAGAAAGGGAGTGGTTGAGGAGAAGCAATGAGACTGCGGGGCGGAGCCAAGACGGAGTTCCAAGGAGCGAGCGCCATATTTCTGCATGTCCTTGCTTGGAGAAATTAATTATTAAGTACGGTCACCGAACCTTGGAAAATGGTGAGGCGGAGTATCCTGATCTGATGTCTCCTAGCACTGTCCGAGTAGGCAAATTATTGCATTGGGTCATCCGATATGGAGATATATCTGAATATTAATAAAATATTATTTTAAATTAAACACGTCAAAAGCGTAGGTAAGTGTAGGTAAAGCATATAAAGCGCAGGTAAAGCGCAAGTAAAGCGCAGTCAAAAGCGCATTCAAAAGTGTAGGTAAAGCGGAGTCAAAGTGCACCTAAAGCGTACCTAAAGTGCATCTAAAGCGCACTCAAAAGCGCATGTGACGTGGAATGTTTTTATTAGATGTCCGAACATATTCTGCGCGTACGGTGACCAGATGCAATAATTTGCCCCGTTAATCACACGTTCTTTATATGCAGACACCACATCTAGAGATGCGTGTGTATTTTATGTTTAAGTTCTGCCTACGTTATGTGTATTTATTGAATATACATTGTGTATTGTAGTAAATAAGCATCAAATATTTAATTGTGAGGATTTGCTACTTATTTGCTGTGTATCTATAAATATGCAGAGTGTAATCATAACATACGCAGAGTGTAAGCAGAGCATACGCAGTGCATCCAATAATCTGGACGCATCTCTGGGTGCGGTGTCCACACCTAATAATCACTCTCTTGGAAGAACGCCCTTTTGTCGCTTATAAATGGAGAAATTATTCTCTGTAGTTATATTCAGACTTCAATACAATGCGGACACATGGCAGTCTGATCATCCAATTATTCGATAAAAAAATTATAATATTTGTCTCATGTTTTTTAATTTACCGCACAATCCGATGATCCAATCTAGACCAGACAAAAAAAGTGAAGTTTTATTAAAAAGAAACCTGAGGCGTTTTCGTGGAAAATTCAACATCGAGACATTTTAGTTTCTCCTCCCATCGATTGTTTCAGGCGGTTTTCATCTTCAATCGAAGCATCGACCTTTTTTTGCTCGAGATTTTCATTGTGGACATAAAAGTTATACTTTATCACAGGTAGTTCTATTTTTTCTATAAATTATTTATCTAATAGAGTTATTAGGGTTTATGTTTAGGGTTTATTACATTTGCGTGTTGCTGTAAAACGTGGTTTCTCAGTTTTCTCACAGATGCGTATTATAGAATATATGTGAGAAATATGTTTTGTATACTGTGCAATGCTGTGTACTCTTTTCCATTCAAATGATCAAGGTAATAGAACATTTTCAGTGATGTTTTTGTTCATTTTGTATACTTATTAATGTTGTATATCTTTGTTATATACTATTGTGTACCGTTGTGTATTGTTTTCTCTTCTCATGATGAAGTTAATAGAACATTTTCAATGATTTTTTTATTCATTTTCTATACTTGTTCCTATTGTGTATTATTATGTACTGTTGTGTACTAGTGTGTATTGTTCTTTAATCACATCATCAAGTTAATAAAATATTTTTTGTTCTTTTTCTATATTTGTTATGATGTGTACCAGTGTGTACTATTCTATATTCGCATGATAAAGTTAATAGAATATTTTTAGTGATGTTTTTTTTTTTCATTTTCTATACTGGTTAGTGTTGTATACCTTTGATGTGTATTGTTGTGTACCATTATTGTATACTGATGTTATTTGTTATTAATTACATATTCATGTTCATAGAACTTTTTTAGTAAAGTTTATGTTCATTTTCTTTACTTTTATGCCATGTATTGCTAAGTATTGCTACATATAGCGTATTGTTCTTAACCACTACACCTAATTTTACAGGAATATATTCCAAAGATAATGTTTCGTTGCAGAACTTCAACGTTCAGAGATATATGCATTAATTTGGTTGATACCGCACTTAAATCACTTTTTGTTGATACCCTGCTTATGTTAGATTGTTCCCCTGCTATACATGTTGTTGTCACTGTGGGATATCCAGAAGCAGTATTTCATCATCAAGAGCGTAAGCTACCATTCACTGTAGATGAAGTTGCTCTAATTATAGGACTAACCAATAGAGGAGATGTATTCGAGATGGGAAGTGCGAGAATCATTGAAAAATCTTCAACTGATATTAAACATGAGATGTTTAGTGTCTACAAATCAACTCCACTTGCCCAACTTGTGAAGAAATTTATCATTTTCTTGTAACATGTTCTTTACACTGCATAACTATCGAACTCCAGTCAGGGTTCTTATTGTAGCACATAATGTAGATCAATTTACATCTTACAACTGGACATCACCCATTAGGGATTTCTTAGTGGGCGAGTTTGATGTTATTTCCAGGAAGTTTTTCAAAGGCAGACCACTAGAATATATAAATGGATTTGTATATATTGTAATTGTGAGTGCATACAATATTTTAGAACCTCTGTGCTTTGTAGAAATTTATTGGCTAACAACCTGTGTGGATTTTATATACAAATTTGATTTCTACAGCATATGTCAATCCACTCACCAATGGATAATAACTTGAGACCTCATTTTCTTCAGTGGGACAGTGAGATTATATACAACGACATAGAGGTCACAGAATTATTTGTTGACCTTCAGGATGTACAAGTATTCATGCTTCCTTCCACTTCATGTTGATGTAGGGAAGTTGATTTTGCTCTGATCATTGATATGAATATGATAAGATTGTATAAAAATTACATGATATATGATACTATTTTTATTGACTAATACATGTTTGTATAGTTATATATTTAATGTTTTATTTGATGCATTGATTTCAGTGACATATATTAGTTACTTGCTAAGCTATATGCTCATTATAAATTTTTACGTATTTTTAGGCAAGAGTAAGGATCCTGTATACTGAGCTTATTTTGGGCTGCAAGCTGGAGTTTCTTTATGGATATGTAAGTCTTTCTCTTTCTTTTATATTCATGAAGTATTTGCATTGATGTACTGTTATTAATTGTATATTATGGCTATTGTATACGTCATTTTAGATTATGAATAAGGGTGTAATTATTGACTATAGAAATATAATTTTATTTTCAATGTTTATATTTTTAATGTGATTTGTAAGCTCAGACTGTTGATTGAAATGATAGAGAGATGGGTAATTTTTTCGATTTAGATTCTAGGGCATAACATATATTCTTGATAGAAATCTTAATGTTGATATTAATTTGCAGAAAAGGACATGTACATATAAAAAGTTAGATGTTATGAGTTTCCCATGTAAACTGTACGTGTTAGTAGTTATATTTTATATTCAAAGTTCGTTATATATATATACTATATAATATATTATATATATATATATTATATATAATATATATATATATATAAAAAGAAAGAATTGCATAATTTGAAAACATCATCATTTATCTTTTTAAAATCATCATCATTTATCTTGTAAAATCTTGATCCTTTATTTCTAGATTATTAAGATCATAATCATTATAATCTATCATTATTTTTTATTTATTTTAGAATTTTAATATATATTTGATTATACAAAAATATTAGTTAACATTTTGATATTAATCACAAAAATATATTGTACATTTTTTATTTTTAATTGTCCTAATGAAACCGGTTTCATGTTCCATAGAATTTCTCTGCAAAGTGTTTTTGAATAAGAACTATTAATGTTTTATTAAGGTTTGAACAATTTTCAATCTGTAAGTAATAAAATGTTTCTACAGTTTTGGGCCTTATAGGGCGTATAAAGTGAACTTTCCTTTTTTAAGATAAATATTAAATTTATAATATCTATATCATTATTTTAAAAAGGAAAAAAATCTTGAAGGTGAGATGAGAAAATGAAAGCCATAATATCTATATCATTATTAAAAAAAAGTAATTAGATACTTTGCCCAATAAAGTCATGATCATTTATGTTTAATATCTTAGTCATTGAAGCTTGAATTTATTTTATATCATAGTCATTTATAAGATATCATTATTATTTATTTATTTTAGATTTAAATATTTATTTAGTTATGCACAATTATCATTTTATGTTTTGAACTTATTATTATTATTATTTTTAAAATGAATATAAATAAATGGAAAAAAAACTTATTATTTTTTTAAAAAGAGAAAAATCTTGAAGGTCACATGAAAATATGATAATTTATAATATATACATTATTATTAAAAAGTAGTTGTATGCTTTGCCCAAATAAAATCATCATAACTTATTTTTCAAAATCTTAGTGCTTTTTGTCTTGAATTTATTTTAGATTATAGTCATTTATAAAATATCATTATTATTTATTTATTTAAGATTTTTAATTTATAGTTGATTATGCAAAAATATTAGTTAATATTTTGATATTAATAAAAAATATATATTGTACATTTTTTATTTTTAATTGCCCTAATGAAATCAGATTCATTTTCCATACAATTTAAGTATAAAAATGTATTAGTATTTTATATAATGCATTTTTATTTTATTTTGATGTATCTTTCATGAAGGTTATGTGCAATGAGAAAATTCACCTCATTAAATATATATTTTAATATTATATCTCAACTCATCAAAAAATTTATTTTATAAATTTTGGTGTTAATCATTATATCATTTAAATTATATTTTTAACAAACTTATTATCGAGACAATCCAATTCAATGAAATGGAGATAAGATAAATGTTTGAAACTTCTTAGGGTCAGGTGATAAATGTACTTGGCCATCTTTTATGTGCTTGCAGTTGAGACGACCAACTGAATGAGAGGAACGCAATAAGCACAATATTACTTAGATCATTAGGAGGACTCCCTGCAATTGATCATCATGTGTCATTTAACATTCCTCATGGACAATAACTCAACACCTATCAATGATCAACTTCTGATGTCAATCAATGCTTGATGCCAATTGTTGACATCTTTTTTTGACATTGAACACTTGTATTATCTTATTGCATGTCTTGTCGATCAGTTTGTCCATATTCTTGCATTTTGCATCATTGTGTCTAATGAAAGATTAAGTTACATATTTTACTTTAATTCATCGTTGGTTTTAAAATTTATTTCTTTTGATCATATTTTGTTCTT